ATCCGAATGACTCCTTTCAAGGCCCTCTATGGACGAGATCTCCCCACCCTTTTAAAATTCACAGACTGTCCGTTCGCCGTGGAAGATATCAATGTCCAAATGACTGAGCGTAATGCCATGTTAAGGGAGCTTAAGGACAATTTAGTTGTGGCTCAAGCTCGCATGAAACAAAATGCTGACCTTCATCGACGAGATGAATGTTTCCAGCCTGGTGACTCAGTTTTCTTGAAGCTTCAGCCCTACAGGTTTAAATCACTTGCCCGAAAAATGAATGAGAAGCTCAGTCCCTGTTTCTATGGTCCTTGCCTTGTTTTGGAACACATAGGACCAGTGGCTTATAAATTGGATCTGCCTTCCACAGCCCGTATTCATCCTGTCTTCCATATTTCTCAGCTCAAGAGGAGTTTACATCAATCGGTACCCATCCAACCCCTTCCGGACTCACTCTCTGAAGATATGGAATTAATGGTCCAACCAGACTCTGTTCTCGCTGTGCGTACTCTGTCAGATGGGTCTAAAGAGGTTCTCATCAAATGGCAGCATTTACCTGATTTTGAAGCCACCTGGGAACCATATGAAGTGATTCAAATACAGTTCCCACAATTTCACCTTGAGGATAAGGTGAATCTTCAAAGTACAGGTGTCATTGGTTTGGATTCTGTTTTGAGAATACAAATTGTGTGAGTAAGGGTAATTGTGGACAGCAGATTTATTGTAAAGTTTCAAAGATTAGATCTCTGGATTGGATCCCAGTCTGTATTTATGGGTCTCTCAACCTTCATCGGAAGTGTTACTGTTTAAAGTAATAATTCAGTCAATGTCACCTTTTACCTTGCTGGGTTATGCTATTACAATTTATTCTGTATATACTAAAAAAGACATCAGAACTTTTCCAACTTGTATATTCAAATCTTCATTCTTTCCCGTAATGCTTGTTTACTCATTGGTAGTTACCGATTTATTTGGTCCATACACTGAAATAAGATATTGTTTTAAGATGACATAAAAGCGGGTGGTATTTGATAAGCCGGCAGTGCAAAAGTCTACACCCTTAAGGGGCGCAAAGGCTTAGGAAGGTTGTAAGGGAGTTGGGTCCACAAAGTACAGGTTGTATTGGTTGGATTTTGTTTTGAGATACAAATTGTGTGAGTAAGGGTAATTGTGGAAAAAAGGAATTAGTATATATTCAGGGAGAGATGTAGTAGCAGGGCAGCTTTGATTTTGGGTGATTAAAACAGTGGAGGCTCCTGGCTCCTCGAAACGCCAAGGTTTTATGTTCAGTTTATTCCATTTTCATCCAGTTAATCTGTTTATACAAAAACATTACAGGATTGCATTTTTGTGTCTTGGGCATTATCTTTGGTTGTGGTTGATTGTGTGTTGGTGATTTGTGTGAAATTATTGTTGGTTGGCTGTGGTTGATTTTATCTGCAGGTGGTTGTATCAAATTGGTATCAGAGCCAAGTTGGGGAATGGTAAAATCCAAAATGGATACTAGGATGGATAGTGTGGAGAAGGAGATGAACTAGATAAAGGAAGACATAGGATCATTGAAGATTGAAATGGGTAGTGTGAAGGAATATTTGACAGAAATGAGAGAGTTATGCGCATGAGAGAAGAGAGGGAGGAAGAAGAGAAAAGAAAGGGAGAAGTCTTCTTCATCGGCAGAGACTAGAATATCAGTAGAGATAAGGAATCAGAACGGGAAGTAGTGGAAAGACGACAAAAAGAACACCCGAAAGCTGGAGTTAACCCATTTTAATGGCGAGGATCCGTTTGGATGGTCCTTCAGAGCAGATCGTACTTCACCATTAATCGTTATCATGAGACAGAAATGGGGGAAGCAAGCACAGTTTGCATGGAGGGAAGAGCGATGGTATCAATGGTCGAATCCAGAGCACCTTTTCAGTCGTGGGAAACATTCAAAAAGCCTTGATCGATCGTTTCCACCATCATTTAAAGGATTGGTATATGAGGCTTTAGTGGCCTTGAAACAAGACAGGACAGTCCCTGAATATAGGGAATAGTTCGCAATCCAATGTGCACCATGAAGGACCTGGGTGATGATTGCTGAAGAGGAATATTTGCGAATGGCTTAAAAGAAGAGATAAAAATGAGCTTCGTTTGTCTCAGCCAAATACGTTGTTTGGCTGATGGATCAAGCGCACAGGATTGAGGAGAGGAACTGGGTACTGGAAAAACAAAGGCCCAAGCCTTTTAAAAAACTAACGGGTCGTGGGGAGCCATATTACGGGTCAGCCCAAACCCGGAACCCACGCCACATACTGGTGGAATTTCAGCGCAAAACAACCAGATCATCTTCTCTTCTGTGTCAAACTCTAGCAAAGCACCCGAGCGAAGAGAGAGGAAGGCGACTGAGTCTGTGGATCCGTCAACCAAAAAGACAACTTTCGACAGCTTTCCGATGCTTGACTACAGTACAAGCGAGAGCGTGGGCTTGTTACCATTGCGACGAGAAATATGGGCACAAACCATGGTTGTTAAAAACAGAACTCTGCAAGTTTTGTTACTCCGAATGACGAAGACACAAACCCACCAGAAGTTGAGACAGAAATGACGAAGAAGCCATCGGTGAAGGTTAAATCTCTAGCCCTCTCGATGAACTCCATTGTGGGGTATTTCATCGGGAAAAAACTTGAAATTACAAGGGGAGATTGGAATGAGAGTGTGGTGGTTTTGGTGGATAGTGGGGCCTCCCAAATTTGTTTCCATGAGTTGTACAGAAGCTAGGGCTGAAGGTGGAGGGAAGGCCTTTTGGGTAATGGTGGGGATGGATGCACCATTCGGGGAAAAAGGATTTGTAAGGCAGTGATGTGAAACTCCAAGGAATTGAGATACAACAGGAATTTTCCTGTTTGAATTACGAGTGCAGACGTTGTGTTGGGGGTACATGGTTGAGTAGTTTGGGGGATGTGAGCGCCAATGGCAGAGACTAACTATGGAATTTGACTGGGAAGGGAAGAGGGTGAAACTGCGAGGGGATCCCCTACTAGTAAAGACGGAGGTATTACTGAAACTATGGTTAGGACTTACAGGCTGTGGGAATGGGTGATGTAGTGGAATTTGGATCCATAGGGTTGAAGAAGAGCCAATACAGGAGGAACTGACCCTAGAATATAAGTGATAGAGAGGTACCCACAACTGTTTGACCAGAATCCTAAATTACCACCCGTAGGACCCATGACCATGCCATAGAATCAACCGGTTCCAAACCACCCAATATCCGACCCTACAAATACCCGTATTTTTGAGAAGAATGAAATCAAGAGGCTGGTTAGGGAAATGTTGTTTGCAAGGATATACCGCTAGCGTTAGCCCATAAGCTAGCCCGGTTCTATTAGTCAAAAAGAAGGATGGAAGTTGGCGATTTTGTGTAGATTACGGGCATTAACGACATTACAATACCGATAAATTCCCAATACCGACCATTGAAGATTACTTGATGAGTTAGCCGGGGCAACAATTTTCACAAAACTGGACCTTAAGTCAGGGTATCATCAAATTAGGGTGCGAGAGGTTGGTCCCAAAAACAGCCTTTCGCACACATGAGGGGCATTACGAGTACCTTGTGATGCCTTTCGGTCTCACTAATGCGCCCTCCACATTTCAAGCCTTAATGAACTCAGTATTTAGGCCAGTTCTCGTAAATTCATTGGTCTTCTTGATGATATCCTTATGTATAGCCCTACATAACCACACACTTCAGCACTTACAGCTAATCTTTCAGATTTTACAGGAACACAAAACTGGTGTTAATAAGAAAAAGTGCTCATTTGGCCAACCTAAGCTGGAATATTTGGGTCACCTGGTTTCAGAACACGAGTTGAGGGAGATCCGAAAAAGATTGAGGCTATGGTATCTGGCCCCGACCTGTGAATGTGAAGGGATTGAGAGGTTTCCTTGGGGCTGACAGGTTATTACCGGAGATTCGTAAAAGGATATGGTTCAATCACACACCCTTACTCAGTTACTAAAGAAGGATTCCTTCACTTGGAATGACTCAGCACAATCGGCTTTTGATAGGCTCAAGGAAGCCATGACTACCGTCCCTGTTTTAGCAGTTCCAGATTTCACACGCCCCTTTGAAATTCAGACAGCGACGCATCTGGAAGAGGTCTCGGGGCTATTTTGGTGCAGCAATCTCGACCGATAGCGTTCCTCAGCAAGGCATTCTCCCTACAACTAAGCTGAAATCGGTTTATGAGCGTGATGATGGCCATTGTTTTTACAGTAAGGAAATGGAGTCACTATCTTTGGGCAGAAAATTCATCATCAGACTAATCAACGCAGCCTCCAGTTTTTAACGGATCAAAGATCAAAAAACTCCGGAACAACACAAATGGATCTCCAAGCTGATGGGTTTCACCTTTGAAATTCAGTACTATCCAGGGCTTCCAACCGAGTAGTAGATGCCTTTCAAGAAGAGAAGATGGGACAGAATTGGCACACCTTTCAGCCATTATCTGCGGTACAGTTTTCTGAATTGAGGAGATGGCCACGGAGGCACAAACAGATCAAAACTCGGGAAATCATTCAGGATCTTCTCTGATCTTCTAGCCGACCAACTTCATATCCACCGGGGCTGCTATTCTATAAGGACAGGCTGGTTATTCCAAAAGGGTCCAGATTTGTTTCCAAATTACTGACGAATTCATCAGAGTCCTAGTGGAGGCCACCGGGTTTCTTCAGAAAATACAAGAGAGTATCTTCGGTAGTTTATTGGGAGGGTATTCGGGGAGATATACAAAGCTACATTAAAGCCTACACCACCTGTCAACTTAATAAACAGTCGTCGTTTAAACCTGCGGACTCCTCCAACTCTCCCATTCCAGAACAAGTTTTTGAGGATATCTCTATGGACTTTAATGGGGGGGGGGGGGGGGGGGGGGGGGGGGGGGGTTTCTTTTTTGGGGAGGGAGGTTGTTTTGGTGTTTATTCTATGAATAAAGTTTAATTTTTAGTTACTATGTTCTCTTATATATGTCCGGTTTCTCTTTCTGGTTTCTCCCCAATGTCCTTGATTATTGTTGAACTAGGTTTTCACAAGAAAAATTATTCTTTTTAAATCGCGTTTTTAGAATATATTTTTTGGCACAAATTCTCAAATGTACGAGGGGAGTAAGATCCTTTAGCTATGGATAACTAAAATTGGTGGTGCAAATTATCCAACTTATATTCTTATATTGTGGGATTGAAAGCTTCTGTGGCAGTAAGTCAGTAGGAATGAGATAACCTTCAGAATGTAAGGTTTTTCTGAGCTGAATTACTGGGAAATGGTGTCTACTGTCTACTGCTTGATTCTTGAAGAAGTTGTATCAGAGTAAGAGTGGGGCAGATTTGGAGAATATATACCAATGGTAATGCGAATGCCACTTCTTTTTTTCAAAGTTTTGTTTTGATATTTCTGTTGGGCAAAGGTGCAATTTATCGTGATTGTCCATTACTTACTTAATTGCTGCGGGACAATCAAGACACTATCTCTTTCATCAGTGACTAATTAGAAACTAATTATACTAAGCGCAAAGCTGAAGTGCATTGCAGTTAATCCATAGCTTTGGTGAAGTAGTTATGTATTCCCATGACTTTTTTTAATAGAGTTATTTTATTTTTTTAAGTAAAATTAGGTTTTATTTGATATAGTGGATATTGGAAATAATTTTTAAGAACTTGTGTACTCTTTCTTTGAATCTTCTTCATCTCTTTCAATCACATGGAATGTATGGGTAATAAGACTGCGACAATTGGTTTGAATTTTTGCTTGTCATATTGCAGATTTTGAAATGTCTGATGCTCAGAAAGATCATATTTCCGCTGTTGAACATCTGGTCCCAAGTTTCAGAGATCTTAGAATTCACCTTCACCATTACTTGGGAGACGGTCAATTTTGGATGATCTATTTTATATTGTTGCTTCCAAGAGTTAATGACCATGATTTTGAGCTTCTGTCAACTCCAAAGGCAAGTTTTTTTCTATTCACATGTCATCTCTTTTTTCCTTAAATATCAAAATACACAATTATTTGCACATAACCCCTAGCAACTATCTGTTGTGGGTCCTCTTATGGACCATATCTTGTTATCAAAGATTGAACTTTCCATGTTGGCCTGGAAATGTTCTTGGGGCTTTTCATCTTGGGGACATTCAACTCCAAACCATGCACATTAGACACATGCTTAAATTTTTGTGATTTTTTAATATGTTACTTTTTTCACTTTAATATGTTTCCTATAGGACTCTGATTCTGCATTTGTCAGAAAGGTTTTTGTCCATATGTTTTAGTTATGTTCTTTCTTGTCTGAGTTATTGATTTAAAGGATTATACTATATTGCTGTTACAAGGCCTTCTTTTTTGTTCCAACACGCAATTTTTTGGTTTATGGATAAGAATGTTTTAGTTATCGTAAACGACATTTTAGTTATCAATATATGTAACTAATTTATATACTTTGTCAACTGAAACATTGGCCCGGTAACATTATTGGACCTAATACTGTAGTATGACCTTGATTGAAGTCTTTGGAAACGGTGAGACTTGAGAACGTACCTTTTGTTTATCTATAAGATCAATTACTTGTCTTTTCTAAATTAGGACTAAAACTTCTTCAAATTCTAGGCAATGAAGTCTGATTTTTGAAATCTGTAGAATATTTTTTTCTTATATCCAATGGGTGGTTCTTCTGTAATATGGAATTGATGCCTTCTCTGCACTAATCTAGTTTTGAAATTTTTACAGTTTGGAAATAAAAATTCTGTCTGTGCTGAAATTTCAAATTAAAATTACAATAATAAAAAAATGTCTTCAGTAATAAGTTCTCTTGTGTTGCAGATTATTGAAACAAGAAATATTCTTATGCAGAAGCTACAAGACGATAAGACTGCTCAAGTTGATAACCGTAGCACTAGTGCATCTGCAGAAAAGGAGGTTACTGAGATTTTAAGTGCAACACAAGGTCTAGAAATCAATGTTGAAGAAAATACTGAGCGATGGCTGGATGGTACAGATATCGATAGTGGCATTTCTCTAAATAGCCAACAAAAGATTGAACACGAAGAGGATGTCTCATTCAGTGATTTGGAAGACGATGGCAATGATCTACCTTCTAGACTATCAGCCTCTAGGCCAGGACATGAAGTTAAGGCTATTTCACGAAGTGGATCCAATGATTGGATAAAACTAAATGATAGTTCTGATAATCGGGTTGATCTAGAGAAGGCACGACAGTCTGCTTCTCGGGATAAAGACTCAGAAGGTGAATCAAGCGATTGGCTTGCAGTTGATGAATTTGATTAGAAAGTTGGCAGCTGTTTGATATGCAGCAGATTTATTGTAAAGTTTCAAAGATTATGATCTCTTGGATTGGATCCCCAGTTCTGTATTTATGGGTCTCAACCTTCATCGGAAGTGTTACTGTTTAAAGTAATAATTCAGTCAATGTCACCTTTTACCTTGCTGGGTTATGCTATTACAATTTATTTCTGTATATACTAAAAAAGACATCAGAACTTTTCCAACTTGTATATTCAAATTCTTCATTCTTTCCCGTAATTGCTTGTTTACTCATTGGTAGTTTACTGTATTTATTTGGTCCATACACAGAATAAGATATTATTTTAAAGATGAACATAAAAGCTGTTGGTATTTTGTTTCAGAAAAGTTTCAAAGAATATCTCCATCTATCACATGTAAGTTTTTACTGACATCAAAATTCAAAAGCAGGCATTCAATTTCTACTCTTAAAACATACCATATATTTCAAACTTATTTTAAACAATTAATATCGTCACATTCAACTAATTTGATCAGAAAAATCAGCTGTTTTAGTGAGAAAGACTATAATGGTACTTGATTCTGTATATTGTAGAAGTCAAGGGTCTCAAAAACTGTAAAATTCAACTTTTCGTGCCAGAACCAGCAGATTAGTTTGTTGCTTATATACAAATTGGCCTTTCTTAAAAACTGGGGCTTTGACTATGTAATGTCTATCTCAACCAGGAGTTTTGGAAATCTTTGACTTCTAACGCTACTAATAAAGAGTTGCAGGACACTAGATTCACAGCACTGCCAGTATCATGGCCTCCAACCTCTCCATCCTGTTGGGTGGACGGGATGATAGACAGAAAATACGTTGGGAGGTGGCCTCAAAGCAGGATTTGCATTGAAGCCCCTTGGTACAAACGTTTCAGTGGATCTTGGCTGCATCAGTTTCATAGTAATGTTTATGGAGCAATGATTACCTCGAGGGAATGCTTGAGGGAATGGTTGGGTAAAAGTAGGATAATCAACCCGACTTGGATAGCTTGCAGAAGAACTTTGAAATGCTAAGTTAGGAACTTCTGAGTGGACCAAAGTCGTGGGCTGTGGTACTGATTGTTTGCGAAGCTCAACCCGACTTGGATAGCTTGCAGAGGAACTTTGAAATGCTGAGTTAGGTACTTCTGAGTGGACCAAAGTTGTGGGCTGTGGTACTGATCGTTTGCGAAGCTCTGCATTTGGTGCTACTGATCGTTTGTGAAGCTCCACATTTGGTGGGCACCATTCAGGCATGTCGTCGTCGTCGTCGTCATCATCATTGAAAAGATTCTTTGATGCAGTTGCACTAACTGGTTGCATAATACATCTGCTTTGAGTGTTTTGTTTTTCTCCATTTACAGAAACTTCCTTCAGCAGAGGCATTCTCTGAATGGCATCCAGTGGAAGCCTAGGAAGATTGAAAATTTCCAATCTTGGTTGTTTGAAAGCTGATAGTGACTTTACCATTGACATGGCCGGCTGCAACGACCAATCCATTTTCCTTAATCCTTCAGCTGGAAGTTTCTTCTCAACAGTCACAGAATCCAAAGGTTTGCTCATTGGATGAGATATGCCACATTCAGTTCTAAAGTCAAATTCAGGAAGGTCATCATTGTCAAGAGTACGTATAGGTTGCATTGCGAACTTAGATGAGAGAGACAAAACAGGTTTCTGAAGTTCCAAAACTGGTTCGGGTCTCTCTTCTATGCTTGACTTGTGTTGTATAAGTGGTGTTTCAACTTCAGGCTGTGCCACTGAGCTCTGGAGAGAGGCAGATTCCTTAGAACCTTTGGATTGCAAAAATGATTCAGGATTCAGAACTGAAGGTGTCAGAGACAGATTAGCACTGGCAGAAGAATTATGCAATTCAAGTTCAACTTCACTTGTCTTTTGATGTTTGCCTCCATTTCCACAGTTTCCTGCACTCTCATGAGTGGTGCTCTTAGTTTCTGATGCAACTGGAATGGGATCCTGAGTTGATTGTTTACAACACAAATCTTTTCTTATGGATATTTTCCTAGAAGAGTTTGATGAAGAGTTGAGAAGGTGTCCTGATGAGGAACAAATCTTTCCGTCAGATTTCTTTGCAGCAGAATTAGCAGATGCTATATTTCTTCGCCATACAACACAACCAATCAAAGAGTCTTGGTTGTCTACAACAGCAGCCATGCCCTTGAAGAAACCATGCTTTGCAAGTATTGTGATTATGCTGTCACTATGAGGGTAAACATAAAGATCAATACCTGGTGATAATTTCACGAACCCAACCCTCTTCCCATCTTTGTAGCCTTTTGCAACCTGTAAATCAGGTAGATGAAAAAACATAAATCTAATCTATTTATCCAAAAAACCCAGGATGAACTGTAATTACACACTCTCTTTCATTCTGATCCACTCACCTTTTTCATGCCTACCAGTCCAGATTTTGAAGAGCCTTCTTTCCAGCAAAGTGAGATTACCTGAAGACACATGCATAGAGCCATTAGCATTTTCAGTAGAAACAGATGTGCCCGTAGAAGTTAGCATTAAATTCTCCTTAAGGAGTAAGTTGTGATAATATTTTAATAAATTTGGAACCAAGTGGAGCTTGAACCTTAATAGGGAGCCTTTGATGTACCTAGTTTATCCAATTTTCAGGGAGTTACTTGTCATCCTAAAAGAACTGATAATTATGTTGTGATGACCGGTGAAGATGGAGTAGAACTATATGTTGCACTAGTTTTCCTAAACATTCATGTATAAAAGGTTAGTCATATCTGGTTGGACAAAAAAGTGAACTTCTACATCTCAATTTGAAAGGAAGAATTTACCAAGATTTTTCAACTAAGTTGCACCATCATTTGTAATTTTCTTATAGCTTACTTAACAAACAGATAAATCAATATATATCCTAGAACTCAATTTCTGTTTACTAAACCAATTTCCAGTTTTCACATGCCTTTCATCGCACAGCAGATTTCTTGATTTGGCAGTCTCTGGTTTATTACACAAGTAGTTAGAGGGCAATTTAATGTTTTTTGGAACAATATTTTTAGTAGATTATAAGATGGCAAGAAAGAAATAATAATATTTTTGGGGAGAAATGTAATCATAAAGCGAGGTCTTATGGGATTAGACTTTTTGCTTCTATTCGGCTTTGGTTTCAAAGAAATTCAAAGACTTCTCTTTTTTCTTTATTCATCTCAATTGGGAGGGGTTTTCAGCCAACTTTGTATAGTTTGCTTGGTTTCACATAGGGAAAGGAACATAACTCACTATCTTGTATAGATTTGTCCCCTCATTGGCTTTTGATATTTTTGTGGATCTCTAGTCCACTAATGTACCTAGCTCAGTCTCTTTACAATATATAGTTTTATTGTTTCCTATCAAAAAGTAGATTATAAGATGCTCAAGCACTGAAATCTCTACGCAAAAGAGGATAAACTCAAAAGGTATTAGTCTCTTGGTTTTATTGCCATCAATTTTACAAGCTAATCCTCTGAGCATAAATGAAACAGTAAACGAGGCAAATTAGACATAATTAGACATGAGACAGTTTGCTTGTCCATACCGAGTATAACATAATACTCCTTTAATTGGCAACTTACAGGTATCCCTATGCCTCATCTACTTCAAGGTTGGTGAGAAGCTTCATAAATAAAAAATTTTAACAGAAGCAAAAAGGAGTAGACAAACTTAAGAGAGATTGGTATTGTTTATGCAAAATGGTTGACAGATGATTTATTAAAAAGAGAGAGCTATGACACAAATGTATTGTTCTAGATATTCAACTCAAATATCAATTACTTCAGATATATGTTCAGACATTTATGCCACTTTTCAATTTTCCTGAATGATCCATGAAGTCAAACATGCAAAAAGCCAATGAAGTATGTTCTGTGGCCTTCCTAGTCCAGGGAAACAAAAATGTTAGCAATGACTTTAAGAAACAAGGTTCACGATTAGCACAATTTCGGCAAATCAAATAATATTTATACCAAGATCTTTATGTCACTAAATCAAGAGGGAGTATATTTTTCCAGACATATTAAGTTGACATGTCAAGGACATTCAGTTGAATGACCTGTAATCCCAACTCTTCTGTATTCTGATATCAAGTTTGAACAAGACAACTTTTCCTGGTAAATTATGATAAGGACATCATTACCAAGTTTCTTAAGGAATTTTGGGATCTTTATAATCTTCCAAATGAAACTAGATGCTCTAAACATAATTCATAAAACCACTGCAAGCCCAATAGTCTATGCAAATTTAAGCATAATATACCTCAAATTAACCACTCCACAGATTGCCATATATTCACTTGCTGATAGTTATAAAATTAATTTGTCCTACATGTATGTTTTCCCAGGACATATGTATCTTGCTGAATGGAGTTGTCTTGACAAGCATGTAAGAGCATTTTATCTATTCAATTATCATATAGAATATGATGTGGAGTATACCTAAATTATGAATTCTATGGGTTATTGCTAAACAAATTCTATTTCATATGATTATATGAGTACATATACATGGAATAAGCAAAGTTATTATATTGTAAATTACCTTTTGGTTTACACATCAACTTCCATTTTCACAGTTAGTGGTCATCGAGTGTAGAAGTACAACACACATGATTATCCAAATCTTTCATATATCTAGACTGAGTTAAGTTTGTTTGTTTGTTTTTTTTTTTTTTTTTCATCCTTCTTTATGTCCATAATCTGGGCTTTGGGTATGTTTCAATTGTTTCATGAAATCATCATCATTTTCCCATAACAATTTAAACCTGGATCAATATGACATTTAGAACCAAAGTAACAGGAGAAGACATGCTATATCAAAACCTCATTTGGATGGCTGCATAATACCTGAGTTTCAAGGCTGACAGCCTCTATGTTTGCGTCATATTGTTATATGGCATCTGACCCAAAATTTAATAAAAAAGAAAACTTCGCCTCAGACTAATTAAAGTAACCTGGATCATAGTGGCACTAAGAGGTTGTTTACATGGGCAGACTACCAAATTTTTCAATAAAACCACTGGGTTCTGGGTTCAAGTAGTGAGTTTCATATCATTTTTTTATGAGCCTCTCATGGTTATTAATACCCTCCTCCCTCTCTTTGTCTTTATCAGGTATTTTTTTTCTTAAAATCCCTAACTCGCCTATGAAGAATCAGCTCCTGAAAATTGTAACAATCTGACCAATCACACAATTGAAAAACCTGAGGTGGTCCAAGCATCATGTAGATAATGAAATATCATTGTAGAGTATGGAAGTAGCACAGAATGATGAAAAATAATACAGATTGACTAGCCAAATAACATAAAAAAACCTGCTCGTGAATTTTTTAAGATGTACAAACCTTGAAAATCATAAGAAAACTAAATCCCAAGAGATAATATTGATTTTTGACAGCAATAAGAATTCAGCAACTACCATTCTTACAAATACAAATTGTTCATTAGAAACCAGCACACTAGGTTAAAGGGCCGCAACAATTTCAAGTTTCTCATTCCATGTTTCAAGGAGCTCTTTTTCTTCATGTTTTGCATAGCATACTCTCTATTTTCATTTTGTTTTATACATATTAGTTCACATGTGGCTTCCACGATTCCATTTCTTCTTCTTAACAATATTAAAAACATATAAATACTGAACAACATCTAATAATATCAAAATACACTAAAAATGATAACCAATTACTAATTCACACACGCAAGTGTTCAATCATTTACCAGATATCATTCTTTTTGTGAAAATTTTCATCAATTAGGCAATTAAAACAATGGATTTGACTATTTATTATAGTCTCAAGCTTTTAATGTGGTCTGCAAAACTCAGTTACTTGAGCATGAAAGATCTTGACTAAATTTTTAAAAAGGTAAATCAAGCACTAGATCATGGAAATCTAATAACATGTTTAGAAACTAAAAATTACCATTAACCCTCGATTGCGTGAACGAGAGAGATCTTTTATATATCTTTCAAAAATGTCTAATCTGACTTTTCCTTTGACTTCTATAGTTTCAGGCCAATTGATATCAAGCATCTTCTCACCACTGCAGAACAAAATCATTGTAGACCAAGGTTAACAAAATATATATATGCGTAAGTGTGTGTGTATACGTGTGTATGTGTGTGTGTTAAACTACTTAAACTTTAATAAATACAAGTAAATGCATTGTCAGGTCAAATTATTATCCCAAAACAGTTTATATGCTATTCTACATATCAAATTGGTTTTAATAAAGTTCTGACTCTTCTAAGTGATATCAAAGAAGGGTCTACCAGGGCCACCAAATCCATGTGCATGGAAGCAACCAAATTCCAGCATCAGTCAAGCATAAACAACAATGTCTATGATGAAGTCAATTATTGCCAAAAAGTTTAAATTTTTGTTTCCATATAAATGTTGTCTCATGCCAGGGAAAAAAATTCAAGACATTATTAGGGAAACTGTAGTTTAGCAAAATAGCATCTAATGTCAACCTCAATCAAAGAGACAAAAAGCTATGGATGGAAACAAGCAACAGGAAGATATAATACTAGTGATAGAAAGCAAAGCAATTCTAAAAGGAAAAAACATTATGCAAGAGCTTCGCCTTTTCATATGTTTGTCAATGTTCAGCTACAAAAGAATATAGTCAGCAAAAAGTACTTGCAGATTCCATTACATATAGAGGTGCAAATACTGTCGGCCAATTGACAATAACGTCTATAAATGAAAGTTACAATTTTAACATGCTTATTTCATCAAGAAAGGTTTACCAGGCTAAGGGGCATGAGCAATTACCTATAATGTTTACTAAACAATGGAACTAGACCAGTCAAATCTATGATCTAGAGATACATAAACCAGTGTCATCTTCTTATACTAGTATAGGGGTTGGACACAACATCTTTAAAATATACACAACTTCTGTATGCTTGTCCATTTATTATGTTGAACATATATATTTAACTATCATCATGAAACAAAAAAATAAGACACATTTAACCAAACGAATGGATTTCTTTTATAGCTATCCCTTTTCAAGTGTTGGGCATGGTTGGACACAAGGAAAAATGAGGGGAAAAAAATCAACGTAAGTGTTATACAAATAAAAAAGCAATTAATGGACACTTATTACAGATCTTCGCTATAATTGTTATGAAAGGACCCTACCTTGTTGAAAATAGCTATAATCTGACGTAGAATCACTTTTAATTAAAGCCTGTATCAGAACTTAAAATACAGTTAAGTAGAGGGAAATGAAGAGATTTGATTCCAAACATCATCTTGTCAAATGGGACACAAGTTTAGAACAAAATCAATAATAGGACTGTTAATATAGAGGGTTTTCTAGAGTTTTCATTTCATACTCCGCAGGATTTTGGATTAAGGGACAGATGATGGTTAAATTAAATCTAATCTAGTTTAATGGTTCAATGTGTCTCATTTTCATCATCAGTCCTCATATGACAGTTTAAAAGCAAAGACATATGGCTTTCGGGCTCCCCATTTCTCCAGCTCTACAGTTCATAAGTATCCAGATGAATGATAATAGAATAACAATTAGCACGATATACGTCAAGCAAGTTGGAAAATCTAGGTTTAGAAAGCCCTCATGCAAAATGACATTCTTTTTCCAGTTATGTATGGATTTTAATCAGGCAAATCATAAGAATCAGCCAGTTTGCACTTGAAGATCCTGAAACAGAAATAAACATAAAGATAAAACACAAATATGTGTCCATGATAATGAGTTGAAGAAAAAAGGTTGATCATTTTGACAATCTCAGATCTTAATCAGATTGCAAATCTAAGACCCCCGATTTCCAAACCTCGTTGTAAATCTAGACATCTATGAAACCTAAGCTAATTAAAGTAGCAGTTCAGCTGTTTGTGAAATATACTGTGATGAAGAAAATATTGATCCATTGGAGACAAGGTCACATCATCAAACCATACAAGTATAATTCAAAAATAACTTTAAATTTATAAAAAATACCATTGGGTTCTTGCTATTAATATATTTCAGCATACCAAAAAGGTTTATAATAATTTAATTCAATCAACAATGCAAAACTCTTGTAACATAACATAGTACCATAATGCTTCTTTGGAGAACCCTGAGCAAGGTTTTCTGCAGAACTTGCAAAACATAAAAGGTACATCCTCCCAAGAGCTAGTGTGACTATGCAAGAACAAAAGAATTTCTTTTACCATCCATCATTTGTTCTTACTTATGATGAAAAACATGAGAAATGCCACCGTAACAATGCCACAGATAACATTTAACTAATTCAACGACCCCTGGTGTCAAATACTATCTAACTCTTTGGAGGGAACAAAGATCCATTTTGACAACTTATTTCTAAACAATCTCACCAGACGCATTATCTCACCATTTCTGGGCCAGGAGGGCCTCACTTCAGGGAGAACAGATATATTTACCAATTCATTCCCCCTTAGTTTTTTTTATTATTCAATTGATTGGCATAAACTAATCCCTGAAATACAAGCCTGAAAAGTCAAGTCGATGTAGAGAAGACTAGTACTTCCCCTAGACAGATTATGAGAATATAAATGTTTTTCTCTATGCATTAACAAGAAATCTTCGAGTCAAAATCAAATGCACAACATTATTAATACTTTTTAGGGGAATAAGTTGATAGAAAGTTTTCATTTCTTCAACTTTGAACATACTTCAGCATTGTGTTTCAACCAAAATACATCAATTCAATTTCTTTCAAATGTACAAATATATGATCCTTCTTGCAACGTTATTCTTGAAAGTTAACAACCATGAAATTGGTTGAATTTAGTTCAAAAAAGCTAAATCAAAATACGTACAAATTCTTTTATCTTTGTTCTTTTTTTTTTTTTTTTCCCTTTATTTGATAGGAAACAAAGTGATCAATGAACCAGGTTCTTCCCAAAAGATGGAACAAGCAGACAGGAGGGATGATTGAAACTAGTTTTCATTGAAATAATATATTGTTTTAAGATGTTTGACTAAAACTATGGCACAATAGAAAAAGAGTAATACTACACTTACAAAGAAATTTTACAAAGATCTATATACAAAGTGATGTGGCAAAAAATGAATGGAAGAGTGAATTTAATAGGTTTGACTTTTTGTTTCACTCTTCCATTTATTTTTTGCCACCTCACTTTGTATGGAAATCTTTGTAAGATTTCTTTGTAAGTATAGTATTATTGATAGAAAAATACGCGTGGCCAAGTCAGTTGACATGCATAAAACTAAGTCATGAATTTATTCTATTTTATCCGATGGTCTAAATCTAAGTAAAAATATCATACTTAATGTTGTCAACTCATTTAAAACATTTAAATTGAGGTTTAAGTCATAAATTAAAGATTTAAACCTAGATTGTGACCTATACCACATCAGGAGATATATCGTTTCTCTTCATTCATTCTGATTGGGATGCAGTCCTTTTATGTCAATACAAGTTTCATAGTTTTTCACCAATAAAAAGGAAAAAATATGTGATTGTTTCATCAATTTGTTATCATTTCTTTGTAGTTTGTTTACTTTTATCATGAGGTATTCTAGTATTGTTGGACTGCCATTTTACCTTCATAATTTTTTACTTTGAACTATTGATATAAATCCTCTGGTTTCTATCTTTTTTGTTTTTAAACTTTCTTTTAGACGGTATGTTAATGTGTATGCTCATTGCAATTACGGGAAGAGCATGATATCCTTTTTTGAAGTTGAAAGCATAAAAAATCAGCCTTCAATAATTACTTAAATTTCAACTTTAGCCAAGGGTCAAAGTTACCATGATTAATGTTTTAAATGTCTTTTCAAGAGAATTAATTGAAGGTTCTATTGGTTTTCTCTGAAAGATCTGTAGCAACATAGACAAGACATTCTAATACATTCTCTAGAAGATTACATGGCCTCCCACTTTTTATCATATCTCAAATCTAGGGTTTCAACCTCTTACTCTCCTTTCTATCCTATTTTTCCTAATCCCCACACCATACAGTCAATCAAAAGCTCCTTTCCGAAGCTATTAGTTATATACTAAGTTTATTTTTCTAACCATTTATTTAGACATAAAAATAAAGAGAGAGAATGATTCCTGTAAAAAATAAAGAAATAAACAGAGTGAATGATACCATTATAAGTTGCAAAATGACAGCATGCAGAACGAAAATTTTGACTTCATGTAAAGAAGCACCGCCAATAAACTGAAAGTATCTACATTGAAATTGAAAATCAAAGAAACTATCCATATTGAAATTGAACTTCAGAAGTAGCTGAATAAACCTTTTAAAGAAGGCAACAGCAGACACAGATACAGAAGAATTTAGCTGAAGAGACCCATCCCAGAACTTCCCAGCAATTGTTGAAGCTAACTTTCCAGCAAGCAATATGTTTTTTTCATTTGACAATTTAGAAGAAGAATGGCTATTGTCACTTCTCAAATCATTCCTTAGAACAACATCGTTAGGATTACCACCGGTGTTCAGTGAAATCTTCTCCACCAAGGAACTATTAGAACGTGATATTTTTGTTTCCTTCTTCATTTGGATACTGCCATCTCTGTGACTTTGATCATCTTCTCTTGAATTATTACTTACACAACCTAGGGTATCAATGTGAACTGGTGTTTTGTATTGCAATGATCTATCATTTTCAGCGTGCTCCCCTTGAGCACAAAACCCAGAAGAGACTGTTGCAACAGAAGATTCAGCAGTGTCAAGTTTCGGATCATTTTGTTTCAAAGCAGAATAAGTTTTATAGTTCCTGGTTTCTAGTATACATGTTTTTCCTTCCAAATCTACAGAGCGCTCATCATGGAAACTCTGGTGCAAAAGGTTTGATGGTCTCAAACTTTCAGAAGATGAATTTTGCACTTCCGTTGACTGATTATCAGCAACATCATATTTGCAACCAAAGCTCATTATATCTTGCACACTAGGACCAACTTGGGTTTGTCCTACTTGTTTACCACTGAATTCCAGAATACGTGGCAATAAAAGCGTCTCTTCTTGACTGAACAAATTATACGTCTGGGAAGGCCCATTTGACACAGGGATGGTCTTGCCATCTGGCATCTTATTCAGAGGCAAGGATCCTACATAATGGAAAGACTTGGAAAGTGTACTTGTAGAAAAACTGTTTATTTTCTGAGCTTCAGTTCCATAGGGGTTCCTTTTATTACTTTGCAAAGTTGGAAGAATGCTATTCCAAGAGTGATATTGATCTTTCACAGTTTGATGTCCAGAAGAAACAGCCTCAGATTTAGAATCTAAAAGCAATCCATGTGGGTTTCTTTGACCAGAAAGTGAATTTGTTTTATGAAGTAGGTTGGCTTTTTTTGAAAAACCATGCTCCAAATCAATATCAGAAACAGTTCCCCATTCATCAGCAGCTATTAGCTTCCTCTTTCTTGATGACTTATCCAGAAAATTTATACCAGTGCCTGAAGGAGGTGGCAGTATCTTGTTCTCCATAAGTGCATCCGGAAGCCTGTGGAAAACACCATTGTCTTAACTCAAAATGTAGTATTCTTCATACGTAGAACAAAAATTGAGCTTAGAATATAGCCTTCTCTTGCAATAACAATGTGGTGAGACAAATGTAAGGCCCGCAGTAAGTAAAAAAGAAATTGAAAAACAGAAAAACTCAAGAGTCCATATAATTCCTAATCCAAATAATTTCCATAAACTAGGATACACTACAGAATTTTTATTATTCTCCACTCTTGGGGAAACAGTAAAATATGTCATATTTTAAACTATTTTTCAGAATTGAATAAAAAAAGACGTTTTTAGAAACTCCCTATGAAGGGCGCTTTCTTTTAAGTTAAACAAAAAATTGTTTACAGATTGAAATTTTATACGAATCACTATACATATTGGTGGATAGCACAATAGTGAAATAACAATAAACAGCAATAAATGGCGCGGACAAGCAAGGCATTTTCGAGTACATCAATAACAAAAGACATATTTTTATTTCTGTTTCACCATTATAGTCTTTCATGCAAGCAACAAAAATTATTCACTACTACATTTAGTAATGTTAGGTTGAGGTGATATTAGAGATAAAAAAAAACACTAGAAGTTCTTTTTAATTCAACAATTAACAGATGCCTACCGTATAGAAACTTAAAAGCACTTACAATTCCATATCGTTTGTTTCAATGGAAAAAATAACTCATTTTCGTTTCATGAAAAGAAAATTCTTAACAGAAAAATTCTCTAATTATACCAATATAATGAATTAAAAGAGAAATTATAACAAAGACAGAAAAAGGTGAATAAAGATAAATACTTACGTATCTCACAAAGAATCAATAGGCAGAGTGAAATTGAACTGAAGTTGAAACCTAGGTTTTTGTTTTTGTTTTTGAAATCGGGTATTCGTCAGTTACAGAAACTTGATCTGACTCTCTGAGAAAGTAGTGTTTTTGTTCTGAACAGATTAAGAGAGTGGCACCTCAATGGAGCGCGTTTCGGTTGCTTTTATTTTATTTTATTTTTTTCAACTTTTCTTTAATGAAATATATCTGAGTAATGATTCTAGTGAATGAGATAAAAATGTTAAAATACGTGAAAAGCAAGATTTCCATGACACGGATAGTATCGGGTCACATTCCCGGCTATGAAGGACACGTATCCCGCCTGACAAAAGGCCGGGTCCGGGTCTAGAAAACAGACAATTTTTATTTTATTTTATAATTTTAATATAATATTTAACATAGTGCAGTGCCATCATCAATTTGAGATAGTTTTATTTTCGAAAAATTAATAAGATACCATAGTTTCAAAATACAATGAAGAATCCAAAAAAAAAAAAAAAAAAACCATAATTTATCTTAAATTTAATAGAAAAAAATAAATGCTCTTAGGTCAATGAGGGAAAAAATTATTAATAATATAAACAAAGAAAACAATATCATTGAAATCCTAGTTTAATTACTAGTGTATAATATCTCTGGCTCTTTTTAATTTTTTCAAATTTATTTCCTTTAATTACTATTTTAGGGTTTCTATGTCTTTTAATTTGTTTTCACAAAATTTAACAATAACTGACTTTTTCTAGAGCTTTTTAGATTTTGACTCTTCTTTATCTCATATCATATTGAATAGAAAGGGTTACTTTTTTAACCATGGCAACTTTGAAATTGAAATATGAATTTGTTCCATCTTCTTAAAAATCTTACTTAATATACTACTAAGTATAAAAAAGAAATTATTTATCCTTTTAATTTCTTTTTAGGGAACATTCTAATTGATGAATAAAAACATGTTATAATACAGATTGATAAAGTCCCCCGTTTGACGTCTTATTTAATTATTTAAGTTTCAGTTTTATTTAGTATCATTTGAAACTTGTATACCTTTTTAGTAACCTTCCAAAAAAAAAAACATCTAAATTAAAAATAGCCTGTGCAGAAACTTAAATAAAAATAATAAGACTTTATTCTTTTGAAAATTGTCAAAACAATAATTATAATTAAATATATATTTTCCAAATAAAGAAAGGAAAGCAATCATGCTAGTTAACTTCTTTTGATAATAAAATATAATAACATGAAAGAGTTTAATACAATTTTTCCCCTGAGATTTCTCCAAATACGATCGCCCCCTTCAAGTATCGGAAATAACAAATTACCCCCTAATATAAGTGTGTCGTAAATTTAATAAACTAACAAAAATTAGGGGGTTAGTAATTGACGAACTTTTTAAATCCTATACATTTCTATCCAAATAACTCAAATTAATACCAAAATGCCTTACCACCATTTTACATATATCTCCAGATATCAAACCATTAAATATTTGAAAATTTTCCACACTATATCAAGGTAAAATTGCCGACATGTAAAATTAATATATATATTGGCAATTGAAATAAGATATATAAGGTGATCAATGAATGTATTGATGCGTAGCTTGGTTTTGTTAGATTTGTGTAAGTTTAAGTGTTAGTGGATGTTTTTTATTGTGTTGCTCTTAAAAGAGTGAAAATGTGATGCATATGTGAAATGGAACACTAAAAACCAAAGGCACAATCAGTTCATGTGAAGGAAATCCATTTCGGGTAGTGGAATACGTGAACTGGTTCATAAGTTCAGTATGATATCAAGTTCGCGTATAATTAAATGAGTTTGTGTGAAATTTCACATTAATTGATTTAGGTAGAAATCACTTGGCGTGGTGCCTAAATCATTCACACTAATTAGTTTAGGCAAAAATCAAATTTCACACTCCCCTTTTTTTGGTTCTATCATTCCTGTAAAATTTCGGGAGAACAACATTTCCCACCCAAGATTTGGCAAAACAACACTTTCCCACCCATGAAGTTTCAAAATGACACTTTTCCACCCACCGCTATGTTTTGTTAGCAAAATCCATTACTATTTGATTGAAAAGATGAAAATACCCTTTATTATTTGATTTAATAATTTTTTTATTATTTTCTGTCATGTTAACAGAGTCAATTACCAATATATCCACTCTTAAATACGAAATTATTAATATGCCCTTAAATGTATATGAAAATATAAATTACCAATTTGTTCCTCTATTTTTTAATTAAAGATAATGTTTTAAATCAATGAAGTTACAACTAGATTTTTAAAAATTTGAAACCTTTAAAATTACCAATTTATTACCGATTTATCCCTGTAGTTGCTACAACGCATTTATATTTAAATTTTGTCAATTTAAATCCAAATAAAACTAAGTATCAGCATTACTATATTCTTAAATAAAAATCCAGATTGTAAAATTACAGTACATATGTATAAGTAATTTTGTCAATTCAAACCCAATAAAAATAGGGAATTCAATACAAAGAAAGAAGCTTTTCCACTTTCTCATTCATTTCTTAAAATCCAAAAAGTTTTGCGTTCACCCTTCGCTTTCTAGCTCCTTGAAGATTGATTTTCCCTTGCTTTCTAGATCTTCAAAACCTTCTTCACAATCCTTTGCTCTTCCACCAAGAAAACTTGAATTTGATGTATTATTTTCAACCGAAGTTACCATCTTCAGTACCTTTGCAACTGCCTTAGGAGGCTATTCTCCATTTAACTTAGCGTCAACGAAATGCTTCAACTTATCTTCACCAAGTTTTGGAGTTGTTTAAAACAATTCAGAATTGCACAAAAATCAGCTTGAATGAAGCTTACACATATATGAATTTGTTATCTATAAGTATAGAGAATAACAAAATAGAAAAAATATGTATGTTCCAAAACAAGTTAGTGGTAGAAAAGAATAAAGATGAAGTTCATACCCATGTCACAAGGCTCTGCTGCTCACACGACAGAGTATGATCAATAGGCTTCCACCCAGTTACGAGTTCCAACAGGACAAGACCAAAGCTATAAACATCACTCTTTGCACTCATCTGTCCTATCGTAGCGTATCTGCAATCCAAAATCAAATATTAAGGCCAGAGAATTTATAAGTGCTTCAGGGAAAAAAAAAAAAAAAAAAAAAGAGATAATTTTCCAAACCAAGGTTTCAAGTGTCCCAATCAATCTAACATTCTTTTGCTATTTCTTTCATCACTTTTAACTTCACTTCTCTAGGAGGGGTTCTGACATAGTTTCCTGATTAACTGTAAGCAAAACTAAGCACTATTAAGTCATGAAAAAATACTGTGACACGCCAAACATAGCATAATGTGCAAAATGTTCTTGCATGTACCATCTCTATCTTGATAACATGTTTGATGAGAAGATCTATGATAGTATGAATGTATATCTAAAAAAAATAAGATATCTACAAATTGCAAAGTCATAAATCTTTTATTACCATGGGATTTACTCCAGAATTAGGCTGCAGATACAAAATCTTTCTCATATTTTTTTCTCAAAAATATTCTTCATTGCCACTAGTTCTAGAATTCCTGAGGACCTTGGGGAGGCAAATATCACACTAGCTTTCCATTTGCAATGATGGTAAGTCTGGCCACTATCAACTCAAAAAATAGCTCAATGAATTTATTAGCAGCTGAAACATTTTGTTCTCATATCACATGTTCAGCCTACACCGTTAAATTTTTGACACAAATTTTTAGGACTATCTTTTAAAAGCAAAATGAGGGCAAAGAAGGATCTAGGAATAAAGTTTAGGCAGATGGAGAAGTTGGGGTTGGAGATTAAGGAAATCCAGTGTTTGCATACAACTTTAAATTTGATCAAGGATTTGATAGGGAGGCAAACAAATATTTCAATTAGAAGGTCATAATTGTTGGCCATTTTTTCAGTTGATGATGATGATTTGTATTGGTGAGAAGAAGAGGAGGCTATAGATTTGGTAGAGTCAGCTAGGGCTTTGTTTGTGGAAAGCATGATTGAGCATATGGTGGGAAAACTACAATATATCCAGTGCGATTTTTAATCGAACATTTAGAATGCGGAAACAACAGTAAGAAATCCAAATAAGAAGCAACGATCAACAAATGAGGAGATAATCAAACACAGTGGGACAGAAATAAACAACACAATAAAAACACAAAGTAATGTGATTTAGAGGAAAATATACCTGAATCCATAGGTAGTGATAATCCTCACTGTAATTCTACAATTTCAAAGAAACCCTAGATTTTTCTCCACACGATCTCTCCTCTTGCCAGTCACCAACAGTAAGTCGCCACTCGCCAACCCTAAGTCGCTAGTCACTGAGAACAAGGAGAAAAGGAAAATGACTTTTCGTTAGTCAGCAACCCTAAGTCGGCAGTCGCCAACCCTAGGTTGCCAGTGCTTTAGTTATTGAGAACAGGGAGAGTTACAGAGAACAAGGAGAAAAGACTTCTCCCTTTTTTTTTTCCATTCAGAAGAATTTTCAATTTTGATTTTTGAGGCTTCATGTAAATAGAACATCTCACCCTTCTTTAGAATGGATTTGCCTAACGGAACAAAACGGTGGGGGGAAAAGTGTCGTTTGGAAACTTCACGGGTGAGAAAGTGTTGTTTCGCCAAACCTTGGGTGGGAAAAAGTTGTTCTCCCTAAAATTTCCCACTTAACGTGAAATTTCATACGGATAATACACAATGATTATCTAGTTAGCATGAAATTGCACACGAATTGGGAAATTTCATACTAATTAATCAGTTTAAACCCAAATATACAATAACTCAATAAACATCAACAAAAATGTAACCCAACACAAACAGATCACTATTAATCAAACAAATATCACAATAACACATATTGTAAGCAAATGGCAACTAATTTCAAAAATCCCTAAACTAAACCCTAAGTTCATGCCAAATAATTACAAATACGACATTTTAGGAAGTTGAAAATTGACAAATAAGTATTAATCTTCTTTCCCTGAAATGTGAGAAGTACAAAGATTTGCGCTGGAAAATCAACTTTGTCATCGTGATTCACTGCCAACCAATGTCGATTGAAATACAATTGCAATTTCGGTGAAATAAAAAGGTTTTTTTTTAATTTATTGTCTAACTCATTTGAAAGCTAATTAAATATCAAAATTTTAGGTTTTTCCAGTTTGGATTTTCGC